TAGGTGTCCAGCTTTGTAATGTGGTTTCTTGGCTTAGAATCATTTAATGGACTAATTATAACTTGGTGTTGTGAACATGAAGATGAGATGGAAAATTGATCACACAAATTTGAAAGAGTCCTATTAACCAGAAGTGTTTAAATCACAGTCATATCCTCTGACATTCACACCTTATATTTATTCAAGAGAATATATCAAGAAAATACATGCTCCAAGAAATATTAGCATTGTCATGATGCTGCTGCACGTGAATAATATTTTTTCCAATCTGTGTCCCTGAATGGCCTGTCATGTGTTTCATATGTTTCTCTCATGTAGCACTTGAAAACATACTTGGGCCTGTAATTTATCATCATCAATAGCTCCTAACAGCTCCCTTAGAGATGGGGGTGAGAAAACACAGCATCAGGGACACGGACACTGAGAGTTTGTTGAAGGCAAACAGCAGAATCATTTATTCAGTGACAGGGAAGGCCTTATATGCTCTCCTCCCAGCACCCAGGCTGTGTCCTGATCTGGTGACATTGTGAGGTCATCCCTCATTGGCTGGGCATGATCAGGAACTCTGACAGTGCTTGTTACTATGTGCCCAGGCAGACTCTGCACGATCAGGAACTGTGACATTGACTAGGAAATCTGATGGCGACTGTTGCTAGGTCCTCAGCAGACTCAATGTTGGCTCTTAAGGAGTAAGGATTAAGTAGCTATGCCTTGGCTACTGGTCTGAGGCAATTTCCTCAACCCTGTGGGCCTTTAGATTGTGAATTGTTAAATCTAGTCAGTGTAGCGTATGCAACACTTAAGCAGATGTGTTTGTCATATTTAAAGATTTATTACACATGATATTTCTTCACTTTTCCTAGAGATGAAGTGATTGCAGCCCCTCAGTCAATTTTATTTTTCCGTTTACATGTATACATGATAAATAGAAGAGACTATACAACTCTATGAACTTTAAAATACATGTGGATGTTTTCTTGATGATTTCAGGTATAGTTTTTGTTTTACTGATGTTTTACTGCTTCTTCTTTTTTTGTGTTATTGTAACAGTTTTCCCATAATATACGTGTTTATTTTCTCTAGATAGAATATTTTTATTAAATGGTTATTTTGTGTATTATATTGAATTCTGACAAAGATTTTTATTTTGCTGTAATACACCAAATCAGTAACTTCTTTGAGGACTGGTGTCTGTGAAGTATAAGATATACAAAGTTAAGATGTCATTCATTTACTCAATAATTTTTACTTCAGTTTTTCAGGAATGGAAATGGAAATCAGGAAATTTTATTATTTTCTCTTATTTCAGAACAATGTTCTAGTTGCAAAACACAATTATTTTCCATTTTTGAGGATATCTCGTATATTTTCTCTTGGTATTTCCAATGAAACTGTGGTTCAAACATAGATATCCCATTATTCTTTAGTGAGGCTGGTTTCTTTTGCTACATTAAACATAAGAAGTAAAAAGAGATAACCATTAGAAGTATGACTGTTTCTGAATTTTGGATCCCCCAAATTTATTGTCTAGACCTATATAAATTCATTGATTTTCAAATTTAGTTTCTTGAGTGTTC